ATAATAAATAAAAACAATTTGTAATTCAAAAGTACCTAAATAAAAATATATCAAGAGTAAATTAAAATTCACTCATTCAAACTTACCTTTTCCAGTACTGATTCTTTTTAATTTTGTCTTTCTCTCGCCTAAGTGCTGATAATAGAGTATTCATTTTTTTTACATTCATCTACTGTCGTTTTAAATTATACAGCAAGTTCTTCCCAAGCATCATGCTTTTTTATTTTATTATAATATTTCGGATGTTTTGTATCCCACAAAATATCTTTTATTTTGGTAACTATTTATAAAATCAATAGAAGATGCTTCCGTCCACTCCATTGCAATTGTTTCAACTAAATAAATACAACGGAAGATAAAACGCGAGTATGTACGCACACCCGTCCAAACAAGCAAACAAGCGGTGCAACATCAGCGCGTAACATTCCTTGTTGCGACGGCAGAAAACCGACAACCGATCGGACCCCTCAATGTTGCGGTGTTGCGCTGTTACGCAGTGTGGTCTAGACTTGATGCGCGACGGTGTTACGATACGATGTTTTGTTGCATGTCTGGACGCAACCTTTAGGATACATTTTTTCCAAGAAATTTGCTTTTTTCGTTAGGGTCGATGTTGACAACTCACCTATTTTAGTTAGAAATGAAAACTTCCCGTTAAACCTGTTGTAAGCCTCCTGACGTTTTCCTACCTCGGACACGAGTCTATGTACGAGGATGAGAAACGTGTTAACCCAGAAAGTTTCACTCGCAGTCATTCTAATTTCTTCATCGGGTGTTTCGTTAAATCTTATTTTTCTTTTAGGTTGCCCTTTTTCCAATATCTGTTGTATATTGCTTCGATACGCTTAATTCCATCGCTTTTTCTTCGAAATACTTGAAGTTCTCTCGTTCAGTTACGAAAAACTTACAGAGTGATTCGTGAAGATCGGCACGGTGATCAAATCTACGGTGAAAGCCTGAATTAGAACATTAACTTTGTTTATTCTCTCCAAAAAATCATTCCAAACAACAACCATTACCGCCGTTTCCGGTTTTTCTAATTAAAAAGTATCCCCGCCGCTTCATTTGGCATTACATGCTTTTCGGTACAATCGTCCTTGATTGATTCCAAAGTTTCAAGAACTTCGTGCCAAGAATCTCCCAAACTCTTACAAGCGTCCTCTCTGGCTGACCAACGTGTTACATTCACTCTCTTCAGGGTTTTGCCTTTCCCGATTTCACTGGTTAATTTTTGCCAGAGATGTGTCGAGCTTACTAAAAAAACGTAAATTTCCTGTAGCAGCATGAAAAAGCGACAAGCTTCTGTACAAGATTCAGCAACAGCAGTTGTCACTGAATTCAAAGAATGTTCAGAACAAGGTACGTAAAAAGCGAAAGGTGCTTGGTCTTTAATTTTTGCTTGTAAGCCGTTGTATATGCCAGACATGTTCGCGGCATTATCTTATGACTGTCCACGACAGTCTTCTATATTTATGTTTAGTGTCTTGAGTTCCGAAATAATGGCAGAAAACATTTCTTCAGCTTTATGTCCCATTGACGACAAAAACTTGAGAAATCTTTCGCACGGTTCGCCTGTTTCCAAAACATATCTAATGACAAGGGTAAGTTGATCCACATGTGATATATCCGGTGTTGAATTGATGATTAGGGAATATTATTTCGCCTCTCTTATCTCGTTTCCAATCTGTTTTAACCCTGCGGCGGGCGCGCCTTTGAAAATCCCATGAGCGGTCGCACCGCGGTACTCTATACCGCAGGTAAAATAATTCTAGCCTCACTAGTAAAATGGATTTAAATTGAAAAATACATACAATACTAAACAATTATAGTCGTAGTAAATGCTTTAGTTATTAAATAAGTATTGTAACTCAAAATAAATACAAAAACATCAAGAGATTCTCAAGTAATAAAAATCAAAAATACATTTCTACAAGTAAACGTTTTACAAAAAGGAATATATGTATATATATATATATACGAGTATATATAGTTTTTAAAAACTAGTCTTCCTCCATTGGGGGATAAAGACAACTATTACATTGCACCAATTTTTCACAGTGTGATTTACAAACAAATCTTTTGCATTGACTACAGGTAACTGTTGTTTTGTTATTTTTGTGTGCACTGCATATATGACAACGACCAATCCGATTTTCAGTCAGTGCGACAGGGACATTAACAGGAGTGTTGTAGCGCGAGATAGGAATTCCCTGATGTCCTTAGGAAGGGCGTTCCTTTAGATGATTTTCCATAAGGGATGAACCTAGAGAGGTCAAATACTTCCTTCTTCTTGGCGGCGTATCTGCTGGTCTATTATTATTGATTATAATTTCGGAGTTTATTCCTGCAATATCTAAAATTCTAAAGAATATTGCTAGAGGCCACCTTCTTGTGATTCTTTGTGTTGTATACGAAGAGCATTTTTGGTCGACTGTATCGACGCCAGATTTTGTTCTGTTATAATGTAATATTATTTCTGGTTTTTGTGTTTTCTCATCAATTTCATCGTTGTTATGCATGGTGGACAGCAAAATTACAGCTTTATTTTTTTAGAAACATGGGATACTAAAGTGACATCAGGTTGGAATCCAAACATAGACGATCCAACTGTCCGCAACGTGCTCGGTAGGAATTCAGGCGGTAATTCCCTTTTGTTTTTTTTTTAGTGTACCAGTCAAAATTAGACCATTTTTTAAAAGATATTCTGCCAATTCATAACTAGTGTAATAATTATCTGTAGTTAAATTTCTTTTAGTGTTTTTTATTTGCTCCACTAATCTCTGCACAATATCGAATGGTTTGTTTGAATTTTTGAAGGGTCCCTCATGTTGTAATCCACAATATATTTCAAATTTCCAAGTGTAATACGTTTTACTGTCACAAAGAGCATATAATTTGATGCCATATTAAGCAGGTTTGAGTGGCATATACTGAACAAATCCGCATCGTCCTCGGAATGGATGTAACATCTCGTCTATTGTGATAAACTCCCCCAAACTATAATGTTCCATGCAATTCTTGACAAAATCCTCAAATATCGTTCTTATCGCTGCTAATTTATCAAATTTCTCGCGTTCTTTTCTTGTTGTTATATCATCGAAACGAAGGGCACGAAGAAGAAACAAAAATCTTTTATAATTGAATAGTGCTCTTAACAGAATCATTCCAGTCCCATCCCTGGCCCAAAGCTCTTCAACATTCACATGGTTTCCTTTTTTTATGGAAATTATGAAAAGTGCTCCAAATAATGCCAAAATTTCATCGGAAGAAGTTAATTTACAATCTCGGTCTCGGGAAAAATTTGCAAGTTCATTTTCTATATAAATATTAGTGCACAATACCATATCCCTAGTCAAAAAAAGAAGAAGAAACGAATCTAACGATTTTGACACATTTTTGGCCGCTCCTTTTGATCCAGGTAAAACTTTAATAATATTCTTAGCCCAGGTTTTGTTACCTTGAATTACAGGGGTGCTTTTCCAAATTGTCTCTTCATTTTTTCCAATATAAAAGCGTTCATTTTCATTTGGCCCAAAAAAGGATTCGGTTTCTTCGGAAAATTCATCAGCGGGACTGCTCCGACTCACTGTTATAGCAATCTTCTTCAATGACTTCCTCTTCTCCTTCGCTTTCACTCTCAAAATCGACAACATCATCCTCATAATCAGACCAGTTCTCCGCTATGTAACGTAACTCTTTCTCAGTAAGTGGTTTCCTGAAGGCTCTTCTATCCCTAAAAAATACCGAGCTTATATTTTTTTGTTCAAAAATAATTACAAAACTTTGAAAACTAATGCCAGATTATTTAGACTATTTAAAATAAAGTTTTCTGTGCAATATATATATATATATATATATATATATATATATATATATATATATCAAAAATACAAAAGGTATCATTTCAAACTTTACTTACATGACCGGTCGCGTTGCGGCACGGAATACCGCAGATCAGCTCTCGTTACTTTGACGCTCCGAAACAAACTGACAGACTTACACCAATAAACTTCGTGCAAGCCAGGCGCTCCTAAAAATAGACATGATTGCATACCTAGACGGCCAGGGCGTAGGACAAATATACCGATAGAAAAATGTATTAAAAATTTAAATTGCGGCATGGAGTACCGCTGCGCGACCGGCGAAGGGTTAAGACTGTATGTCCCATCAACAGGGTAAACTCATCGCAAATGGTTCTTGATAAGTAACTGGTATTCTCTGATCCTTGATTTACAAATCGTTCAATATGACAAGCTAAAAAAGGATCGAATTCCGCTAGCAGTTCCAAAATCATGCAATAATTTCCGTTATGTGGATCACCAAACTTTTCATTTTTTCCTCTGAAAGCGAGGCCTCTAGAACACAGTCGCTTGACTACGGCAACAACTCTCTTCAGAACATTTCTCCAATAAGTAATTCCTTCATCGATCTGGACCTGCAATAAATTGTCAATTCGGCCATCAATCTCACTTCTAGCTTTCAAACTAAGGATACTTGATTTATGACGGGCAGAGTTTTCATGCTGAGCTACTCGATGTTCTGCATTTTTTCTAGTAGTAACAAGACTTTTTCACAATAATAAAAATTACACAAGATAAATTGACATAAAATACATGGCACTAAAGTAATTTGGCTTTGTAGGAAGTGTTTGGGCTTGCAGTAGATCACATGTGACACTTTTTCTATATTTCAAATCATGTCATAGAATGATGAAAAAAGGCTTATTGCGCTTGTGGTAAGAGAGATTATAATCACGTGACTGCTAAAGTCTTTTTTCTTGTTACACATGAGGCATAAAGATTACATGCAGCTTATAGTACTTATGGTGGAGACAACGATGACTATAATCTCCCCTTTCCCAATTGTAATTTTTCTTTCATTTTCTGGAGTCCCAGGTACTTGCAGCTCATTGTTAACTGACATTGCCATACTTCTCTGGCTTGAGATCCTGAGCACATGTTTAGATATGCAGTGATGACACTGTTCACTGTTTCCTTTGTTTATACATTTCCATTTTTAGGGTCTTCGTAGCATGAGTCCAAGTGGTCACAAAGATATGGTATACTTTCTTCACTTGTTATTGTAACATGATCACCACACGCTATTATGGAAAAACTGTATATTCCTTCAGACTTGGTGCATTTCGGGTTGTGTTTTAGGAAACATAATGTATTTTCATCTTCTTCTCCTTTTGTGATTGTGTGTAATTGAATCGTCGTCCAGTCATTAAATCCTTCGTTCTCGAACTGAGTTTTATACTGCAGTGGACCGAATGCCAATACAGAATTTTTACTTTCAGAACAAACTAGCCAATTTCGGTCTTTCACTTCATTATATTTCATCTTCCTTTGAAAGATACTCACTGGCAAGAAACGACGCTGATCCGCATATATTTTTTCACTTTTAGAGAAGTCACAAGACTTGTTTTGATCGAAGCCGTACCTTGCCATAATCTCTCTTAAAGTATCGTTAATTTCCAATAAAGCTGGATCTTTATTTAGATTTACTGTTGTTTGCACTTGGTCATTACTTGTACTTGACGTGTGATACTGATACGCATCTTCAGTTGTTATACTAATTGACGTTTCTTCTACCGCTTCTTTGTCAAAAACATACATATCCGTTTTTTCAAAAGCAGATTGTTGAATAGAGCCCATTTGTTTTTCGGTATTATTATCACTGTATGTGGTTGAAGTTCCTGGCCTTACAATACTGCTTCTACTTCCACTTTCAAGAAAACTGTCAATTTTGATCGTTTTACTGATAATCTTGTTCTTCCTTTTTCATTTTGGCCTTTTTTCTATACTCAGCTCCACTGAGTCGCTTCCTTCCATCATTCATTCTTACAATTGGTTATTTAAGAAGTAGAAAAAAATGACATAAATAACATTAGGAGTCTTATTTCGGGTGCGTATTTATCAGTAGGTATCCTTTGTTCAGATTTCAGACCTTGAAATCCTTGAATAGTTATCTAATATAATGGTACAAGAGCTGGCAACGTCGTGAAATAAAGCGTTTAAAACGAAAGTTTTTTTTCTTTTCCATATATTCCATATGCATTTATCTATACACATTTGTAATTGCGAGACGTTTTAATATATCGATCAAAAGAACTTACCTGAAGTTCGATCGTTATTATATGAAGGTCCAGTCCGAAAATATTACATAATTGTGTAGTATGTGTCCCTTTCACTTTTAGCACAAGGTTCAAAGTAAAATTAAAAGAATCCGGCCCTGTGCCGGTCGCCCTCTGCAGTCGCTCCATCGGAACGTATTCAACTCATTGTTTTAAAGTATTCATTCGGCATCTTTTGGAAAACACATAAATAGCTTCTGGGTTAGATTCTTCCTTGGGTGTGTAGGGATTGTAATATTTTCGGACTGGACCTTCATATAATAACGATCGAACTTCAGGTAAGTTCTTTTGATCGATATATTATATTTCAGGTCCAGTCCTCAATATTACATAATTGTGTAGATGTTTAAAGAGTGTTTGCCAAAAAATGCCTTTCCTAAAGAGATATAAACATTATGTTATCAAACAAATGAAGCAAAACGGATATTTATTATAAGCTGAAATACAAGTAACAGAATAAGGGCATTCAATATACTGATGCCTAAACCAAAGAACATCATTATTTCCCTGATAACACTGTTTCGGCAAAATTATTAGATTCAGACAATGGTCTGTTGTAAAATTTTGCGAAGCTATCCGAGTGTGTGCTCCAACCTGCTGATTTCCTTATTGTGTCGATGGAAACACCGTTTCGTAAGGCTGATGACGTAGAAGCATGTCGAGTTGAGTGTGCTTGAAATACTGTGGTATCCACTCCTGCCTGTTTGAGGATATCTTTCACCCATCTGCTCAGAGGTTGCTTTGTTGCCGCGCCATGAGGTTTACTGTGCGTTATGAAGAGGGAGCCACAGGTTGGGTTTCTCAAGGTGCTTGTTGCGTTGAGATATTTTCTTATGCATGATGCAACACAGAGTTTTTGATTAAGTGAGAAATAAGGGAAAACCATACTAGGCTGGGAAAGCTTTGATTTTGAAGTTTTCGTTAAGTCCGGAATCAATATTACAATATTTGTTTCTGTAAATTTTATGTTAGAGAATCTAATAAAGGAAATCGTTTGAATTCTGTGACCTGTTGCTAGAACCAAAATAGTTACTAGTTTACCGGATAGAAATTTTAACCCTTTATAGTGCAAGACTTCAATCTTCATCAACAAGAGTAATAAACACCTGAGTTTTTGTGAGCAGGGACAAAAACTACTGTTTATTTGACATTTTGTTGATTACAGTTTCCAAAATGGCGTCCAGGTGGTGGTCCTTATAGTGACCACCACACATTTAGGGTGCGTTTAAGTCAAATGCGTTTGATAGCTTTCAATAAAGCAACTTTTATTTTTTTACATGAAACTGTTCAAAACATTGTAAGCAAAGTCCAACATTGCACTCTTTGCACTGAATTTTTGTCCTGTAGTTGAGATATTGGTTTCTCTTTAGTCTGTTTTTTCGTTTCTGAGTAGAGAATGTAGCTATTTACAACTGAGGCATCAAAAACAAAGTTAAAAGTTTCATCCACCATCGCCTGCTTTTCCAAGAGACATTATATGGAGACATGAGCTGATCAAACTTGTCCACACCCAGCATATATTTATTATAATCTGATACCGCACTTGGACAAATAACTTCCTCGCGATTCCCTTGGGCATTCGTTCTAAGAACAGTTGTTTCTTCCCTTGGATCGTGAAAATTGCTAGCAAGTAGGACTGGTTTGGTACCTCGATCCTTCCATTTGTATACAGAAATATCACCGGCCATGCAATAGTCAGATTCTCCACGTTTCAGGGATTTATCGTTCCTCATTTTACTTTTTGGGAAAAACTTTTTATTTTTCCTTAGTGTGCCACATGCGAATGTATTTTTTGCAAGAAGCATTTTGAGCAATGGAAAACTATTGAAAAAGTTGTCAAAGTAGAGACAGCGCCCCTCACCATTATATTTATCAGACATTGTAAGAACGGTTCTTTCTCCCAGGCTTATACCTGCCGAATCAGTTTGCTCTTTGCCTTCATATATCTTGAAACCCAAGTTGTAACCGGTTCGAGAACAAGCAATCACCCAAACTTTAAATCCCCTTTTCACTGGTTTCATGGGCATATACTGTTTCAACGTAGTACGACCCTTGAAACCAACCATGCTTTCATCAATGGAGAGTTCCCTGTAGGGAGCGTAAAGGGTTGAAAATCGTTCGTTCAAAATATCAACAAGTGGACGTATTTTATATAGCTTATCAAAGTTCTCTTGTCCTCGCTGTGGCATAACTTCATTGTCGTTTAGGTGAAGGTAGCGAAGAATATGTAGAAACCTCTTTTGTGACATTACGTTACTTATGCGGCTTACATGGAAGTTTTGATCTGTTGACCAGTACAATCTTAGGCTTGGCAGGGTATGGAAGCCCATTATCAGTAGCATACCAAAAAACGCTTGCAACTCATCCCGTTGAAAATTCAAACCAACTCCTTTTTGCTCTGCGTACCTGTTAGACTCGGTAATAATCATATCATATACTACGTCCGAGAATATTGCGTGAAAATACTGCACAGGTGAATCGATGGTGCCATTTGTTAATCCAACTATATCCTTGACACCTTGTGGTTGATTATAGTTGAAATCTTTATAGGTCTTTGGTTGGCTTCCAATTTTCGTCCAAATGAACTCGATATCATCCCCATCAGCACCTGTCTCTTCTGGTTCATCTTCATCATTTTCAACGTCCTTTGTTGAGATGTCTAAGGCTCCTTGACATTCATTCATCCCACTGTTACAAGCATTAGTCATCTCAGATCCACTGTCTGATCCAGAATATTCATAATCGGGATCTTTTACAGAATCATCTGAATCATCTTGATAAACGTTACCGGAAGTGGTAGAAGTATTGGCTGATACACTTCTTGAAACAATGATGCCTGACTTTGCCCTGGTGGTAGGTTTTGACTTGGGAATAAACTGTTTTGTCAATGGAAGATTGTCGTCGGCATCACTTTCTCCTTCAAGATCGGAATTTATAGCCTGAGCGTCGGATATTGCCTCACAATCTGCTACTATCTGTAGAAGCTCCTCCTGTGTCGCTTTCTGAAGCTCTTGAAACGTCCATTTAGTTTTCGAAGTCATATTCTGAAAGAAAAGTGCCAGATTCAAATTCCGATAACTCGTAAGCCGAATAAAATTTCAAAATCACTCTTTGTATTGAGTATCAGTAGCATATATTGAATAACATACGCATGTAACTATAAACGAAGATGTCGCATATAGATGTAAAATTAAAATTCAAAATTTATCTTTTTGAGGTTAGAAGTGTGGTACTTACCTTTATATGACAAAAGTTATTGATTTATCTGATACTTTTTACTCGAACATTAATTTATTCACCTTTACAACAGTGCAGATGACAATTCTTATAATATATTTTATCGTGATCACCAGTAAGTCAGAAAAAAATAACACAATGTAACACTTCGCGCGAAAACAGTTTTTATGCTTGCTCGTTATGCAAGGTGGTCCGATAAGGGACCACATAATAGTTGCGCGCGCTGATCACGTATTCAGCCACCAGTAGTGGTCCTCTAAAATACCACCGACTAATCCACACATATCGTTCTGTCAGCAAGGCTCATTTTTAGCGCACCGGTTACGCGAAATTGATACCTAACAGAGGTGGTCCTCAATGGGACCACCAACAGTTAAAGGGTTAAGCTGCTCTGCTGTGAGGATTCTAAATAGTTAAGAACTATTTGGGGATCCCAAGTATGGTCGTATTTCGGTTTAGGAGGTCTAAGCCTAAAAACACCTCTAATAGATCATTTCATTTGTGGATTATTTCCTAAGTTCTCTTGAATTATTAATGATATGGCCGCCCGATGAGAATTAGAGGAGCCAAATCTGTTATTGGAGGAATCCAAAATTCTCTGAAAGAATGAAATGATGTCAACGATTTGACAATCGAAAGGTGAAATATCGTTCATTTGACAATAATCCCACCATAATTTATATGTTGTGCTATATTGGTTTATGGTATTATCACTCAAGGACCTCAATATTGTATCTAGGGCATTGATGGGGATTTCCTTTCTTCTAAAGGCTTCCCTGATAATCTCGCAGCTACCAGGGTAAGATTGTTTGATAGCGGATGCTTCATTTGGCTGAAAGGACAAAAAAGCAACTTATCACTGGGTCCAAAAAATAATGGTTGCTTTATTATCAATTTATCGAACAGTGGGTACCACGGTTGAGTGCGCCATAACGGGACCACTAATATGCCTTGCGCCTCGTCAGTAATGATTTTGTGTAGGACTCTAAGTATCATTGAAAATGGCGGGAAAGCATAAAAGTTTAAGTTTCCCCAAGAGAACGTAAAAGCGTCAACTGATTCTGATCCTGGGTCCTTTATCCATGAAATATATCTGCCACATTTATTGTTATAAACAAGCAAATATATCAATCAATATCAGGTTTACCTAATTTGTCAGATATGATTGCGAAAACCTCACGGCTGAGAGACCATTCGGTTTCGGTACGCAATATTCGAGAAGCATTATCCGCTTGCCAGTTTTCTTTGGAAGTAATATATAATGCCAAAATCCAAATATTTCTATTTTCGCAGATTTTTGCCAGATTTTTCTGGTAAGAGCATTTAAATTTTGGTGGTGCACACTACCCATTTTATTGATACAAGCCAAGGCCGTAGTGTTATCAGTTCTGATTAAAATGCTACAATCACTAGTGTTTTTTTGCAATGCATTTTAGACCAAAAAATATTGCCTGTAATTCCAAGAAATTTATGTGATTCTCCTTATCCTGGGATGTCCACCATCCATGCGAACTTTCACCTTGGCAAAAGGCACCCCAGCCAGATAAGCTAGCATCAGTGCAAATTTCTAGTTCATATTTGTCCCTCGTCAAGTTATTTTTAGTGGTATCAATTTTAATTAACCACCAATTTAAATCCGACAGAATTGGTGCGGTTATTGTCATATAACCATTGTAATTTTCGTCGCTATCTTTCAAAGCTAAAAATTTTGCCCTTTCACAATTTTTTGTATAGAGCCATCCATATTTCACCGCCGGACAGGGGGATGTCAAATGACCGATAAGTTGGGCAAATTTAAGAATTCTAAATCTTCTTTGTCTAATAAGATTATTGGCCAATGTTGAAATTTTTTGTCTTTTGTCTGAAGGTAACTCCAAAGTCATGGTATTTGTATCAAATATAAGGCCTAGAAACTTGAACCTCATGCTCGGAGCTAGAACACTTTTTTCCTTATTGACGATAAGGCCTAAAGAAGATAAAACCACATTTTTCCTACATTCCCCTTCAGAGTTCCCCAGAATCAAAAAGTAATCGAGATAATGAACACATGGTATACCCCTGGCTCGTAATATTTTAACAATGGGTTTCATCAGTTTCGTAAATGTAAGAGGTGCTGACGAGAACCCGAACGGTAAACAAGTAAATTCAAAGAATTTGTCGTCAAAATAAAAACGCAAATACTTCTGATAGTCCGTATGAATAGGTACTAAATAATAGGCATTTTTTAGGTCAATAGTCGATGCATAGTGGCCACGTTGAATTAATTTGGTAGCCGTTCGGGCATCTTCCATTTTAAAATGTGGTGCAAACACATATTCATTTAGTTCTTTAAGATTCAGAACAAATCTTTTCCCACCACTTGACTTGTCTATAAGGAAAAAGTTAGACAAAAGTTGGTCACTGCGAGGTTGACATAGCCTTACAGCACCTAGTTCTATTAAAGATTTCACTTCTTTTAATACTAAATGGTGTTCAGGTGAATTAAATAAGTTTTTAGGAATAAGCTGGCCCCCATTCAAAGGTGCGCTCTTGACCCAAGGTATCTTATATCCCTGTAACCAATTTAAAATAGTAGGATCATCCGTGATGGAAACCCATTGTTCGATAAAATATTTTAAACGACCTGCACAGTGGTTTCTTTTTACCTGGACTAATATTTTTTCGGGATCTTGTCCTTCTGCCGGTTCCACTGGCTTTTCTTGTACGTTTCCTTGTGGTAGTTCCTGGAGGTTTGACCCTTGTAAGGACCTGTCTCCCCCAGGCGACTGGTCGGGTAATAAGAGTTTAAATTCCGAGAGGCGGATGTAGCTTTTAACTGGCTCCCCCTGTTTTGCCCTCTGCTAGAGGGTTGCTTAGATGTGGATGGCAATTTTAACTCCTTGTTAACACACTCAAGAGTTTTTACGGTATTAAGCTTATCACTTAAGTTGCCACCGAACAAGAATTCGGACGGTTCGGTAGAATCCGCCAAATCTTTCATATTTTTTAGACATGGAATTATTAAATTTTTACGCGTTACTGACACACGATGAAATAAGTTAGCAAATATTTTGCCTGCGTCAGATAACCCTTTCAAAAGGTCAGTTCTGATATTTTCAGGCAACCTATTTAGTTGACTGAGAGATAAAGTGAGACTTGTTCCCAAGGCAGAAAGACCTCTTCCTAATTGGTTTTGTACTTCAATGTTGGAAGAATCTGTTGTAATATTTTGTTTTGGCAACGCGGCTCTAACCTCTGGATTTAATTTCGGTGGAGTTAAAGTAGGCAAATTTTTTGGGGGATTATAGTCGCCCAATAATGCTAAGCTTTCAGACTTTTTTAGTCCCTTAGCAAGAATAATGCGCCATCTGGATACAATCTGATCATGTAAAGTGATAAGGTCGTCCTGACCTTTATTCGGATCGTCTCCTATCATTTGTAAAACGTCATCAGACAATATGACATCATTATGAACTACAAGTTCATCTAGGTCTTTAGAATTTTCTAAAAGAACGCTGCACGCGCTATCAGAACGCTCTGGGTACTTGCGAGTAGGTGGCACTACATGTGGCAACACCGTCGGCTGGTCCCGCTCGTCGTCCTCGCGGCTAACATCGCCACCAGTACGATCAGCTGTGATATCCGTGATATCCAACCGCCGGCGCTTCGGTGTGTATTCCCTGTTATGCCTCCACTACACGTCTTCAGATGCGTCGGCGGATGTCGGCAGATGCATCGGCAGGTGAATCCCCACGAGCTGACCACACGTCTGCAGACGTCTGCAGGTCGCTCTGTCAAGCCTCGACAGATGCAACGGACGCAAAATTTAAAAAATGGATGTTGAGATGGTAACTGCCGCAGCTATTTATTTGTTTAGTGCTTTTAATTACTACTTGAGTGTGTATCGCAGTAGAGTTATTAAGAAGAAATGGTAAAGAAGAAGGTGGTGGATGCTGGCTATACATAGAAACAGAACAAAGTAAGTTGAATAGGGACTAGTCGAGTAATGTAAGATAATTTTGATGTGGACTTTCCTGATGTAATTGTCTTGGTTGGTTACCATATGCTTAAAGTTATTCTCATATTTCAACGTATCAACCTTTATTACACGATATTTTTTTACAGGAATAGCATGGAAAATCAGCTTGCAGAACTTTACGCGGAGCCAGCTGGAGAATTTGACAATTTTGTTCGAATGTCTTGCAGCGATTTTGAATATCTTTTACAGAAGATATCTCCAATGATTGCTAAAAATGATACTGATTGGAGGGATGCAATTCCAGTGAAAGTACGCCTGGCAGTAACATTAAGATACTTAGCTACTGGAGATAGCTATAGAAGCTTGCATTACCTGTTCAAAATTTCAAGCCAAGTGATATCTCTAATTGTTCCTGAAGTATGTTTGGCGCTCAATGACGTATTAAAGGATTTAGTGAAGGTAAACTACATTAATTTTAACTCAAAATATTTATTGCATGTCTAAAATAAAAAAAATTATTGTTTATAAAAGTCAAAAATGCTGCTCAAAAATTAAGGTTACTTTGTACTATCCTATACATTGCCGATGCTTTCATAACAGGATCTAGTTGTCTCTGGTTGAATCACTTCTTGTGATAAAATATTAACTACTTCGGATTGTTGTTGGTTGACGTTTTGTGGCAGCGATCCCACTGAATAAGGGGAGAGGGAGTCAATTGTGGCATAACTGGGTGACGGTGTTTGTGTTAAATATACACTGTTATTGGAGCTAGGATGACTGATTATCACTGGTACAGTGGCAGAAACATTATATATAACTCGTTTTTCCCCCGAAGGGTAGAAAACGATTATTTCAGGTCTTGCCTAGGCTTGACCCTGGTGAGATTACGTCCCCATTCCCTACCCTAATGTATGCCCCTGTGCCCCTCCCTCTACTCCTATTCTACGTCGGCTAGCCCTTCTGCGCAGTCGCGGCCCAGCGTTTGCCTTCCGTTGTAACGCCACGAATGCCGCGATGCAGGAGGATCCTCAGTACCTCATAATAGTCGTCAAGGACTTATTGGGGTCAAGCCTAGGCAAGACCTGAAATAATCGTTTTCTACCCTTCGGGGGAAAAACGAGTTATATTTCAGGGTCTGTGCCGTCGGCTTGACCCTGGTGAGAAGTGTTTGGTATCTGACGACGTAGAAAAGCGTACTGTGATTCGATGAAAAGAAATATTATCAGGTACTTTGCATCTTAAGAAAGAAGTCTGCGCGTGTGTGTATGCATATGTAAAAGAACACAGCTCTAACACAACTCAAACATTTATTGAACAGCATAAGAATACAAAAAACAAATGAACTAAACCATTATTTAAAATAACAGGTACTCTGCTAAATAGGAACAAATGTTTCCTTACAAATACTATGAAGAGGTCTCTGACAAGACACACGTTTTACTTCCTTAAAGTAGTGCTTGAAAAAGGTCTCTTGACCCTTCCAGTTGCCGTTTTTTAGAATGGTGTCTAACGGAAGCTCACCTTCCCATCTTGACGATGCTACCGCAGCTCTGATACTGCCAGGCGAAGTGAAAATATTTGCCCCAACCAATGCTGTCTTTACCCATCCAGCTATGATAGCTCTTGAAGCAGGCCGTACCTGGGCCCGGCAAGTGATAAAGAGTGAATCCAGGGATTTTGCTGCCCTTCTATGCGCAGAAACAGATAAAAAACGTTTCGTCCAATAAACGGGGTCCAAGCTCGTATCGTCGTTTTGGAGCAGTTTCCACCCCGACTGCCTATAATTACTCTTATCTGTTTTGGATCCAAACTCCGGCCAAAACGTTACACACTTGCTTTCCATTAATAACCTATCAGGATTCATCCTTAATAGAGTCAAGTCATGCACTCTTCGTCCAGAGGCCAATAGCAGGATCAATGCTAACCGTCGAGAGACTTGGAATAAGCTAGCCTCGTCCACTTGATCGGCTTTCATCCAAGATATCAAATCGGACACATCCCACACGAACTTCTTTCCAGGGATAGGTTTACTGATGTCTATTGCCTTTAGTATGTGCTTGACTACAGGATGAGACGTGAGATGACTTCCTAACTGGGGATTGGCCAGCGACGATATCACGGACTTGTGTAACTTCACAGTGGCGGGAGACAGCTTTCTAACACGAAAAAGATACGCCAAATATTGTGCTACCCCTGAGGGCTCTGGATTGGTAGGTGACATCTCCCTACTCTTAGCCCATCTCAGCCATTCAAGCCACGAAGAACGGTATGTCTTCCAAGTGGAACCACGCCAAGAAGTTTCTAACAGCTGAATATCTTCTTCACACCATCCTCGTACGAGTGCAGCCCACCCTGTACCAACCATGCCACCAAACGAAGATCTCGAGCCTGGCTCAATGGCTGCCCGGTCAACGCATCTGTCAAGTGGAGGTTCAGATCCGGTAGCTTGAAAGGCGGCTCTATCACCCGAGATATTAGATCCGGTTCCCAAAACACCTTGTCCCAATTGGGGGTGATCAGAATGTATCTTCCCTTCGCTGAGTTCAGGTGATGGAGGACTCGGGGGATTAGTGCTGGAGGCGGAAATACATATGCCAGGGAATAAGTCCACCTCTTGCTGAAGGCGTTTACAAAAACCGCCTGTTTGTCCCGTACGTCCATCGACGCATAAGCTGGTACCACCTTCGACTGTTTTGAAGCAAAGAGGTCGATTTCCGGGGTTCCGAAACGGTGGAAAATCTGATTGGTCAACTCGATAGACAGATGCCAATCGGGAGGGGCCTTGTTGCGAGACAGGCTGTCTGCTACGTCGTTGCATATGCCTGGGATAAAGTGAGCTGTCAGAGTGATATCCAGACGACTGCAAAGGGTCAGCAGCTTTACGGTAACATCCAGTAACATCTTTGACTTTGTACCGCCTTGCTTCCTTATGTATGCTATCACAGTTTTGTTGTCTGACTGTAGAAGAATCGACTTCCCAATCAGTCGACCACTCCGCTGTCGAATGGCAGCATACACAGCGAACATTTCCCTGACATTTATATGCCAACTCTTCTGATAGTGGGACCAGGATCCCTTCAAGGCTTCGTTTTCTAAGACTGCTCCCCAACCTATGTCCGATGCATCCGTTGTTAGGAAAATCGTTGCGTTTTGGTGGAAAATTGGCGACACCTTGTGAAGGTTTTGGATCCACCATTGACAAGCTGATAACACAGCTGGGGGAGCTCGAAGATATTTCCTCGGCGTTGATTCGGATAGGAGAAGGCACGCTCTCTGCATCCCCCGAACGTGAAGCCTGCCTAAGGGGATCGCGAAGCTGGCGAAGTTCAACCTTCCGATGAGACTTGTAGCTTGGCGCCAGTTCCATCGTTGATGAGTTTGAACCCAAGTCAAAGTCTTCTGAATACATTTTTGTTTCTTCTTTGGAAGGGATATTGTGTTTCCTACCGTGTCCCACCTTATGCCTAGATACTCCACTGTTGTACATGGTTACAACATACATTTCTCTCTGTTTATAATCCATCCCAATGCCTCTAGAAAAAACATTACTTCTGAAACCTGTTTTTTTCAGGATGAGTGGGCACTGATGCGCCAACAGAAAATCGTCCAGATATACGATTACACGTATCCCTCTGACTCGCAACCTGCTCGCTAGCCAATTTGACACCTTGGCAAAGGTTGAAGGGGCGCTCGACAGACCAAAAGGCAGGCAGGTCATTTGATATAGCATTCCCTGATGCAACACTGAGAGGAATCTTCGATATCTTTCCTTTATTGGGATGTGGAAATATGCTTGCGCAATGTCGATTTTGACCATGAAGTCCCCTTTTTGTAGGAAGGCTGGGACTTTTAAATGGTTGATTAGGTGAAACTTGTTTGGATGCAGAAATTCGTTCAGAGCTTTTAAGTTGAAAATTGGTCGCTTGGTACCATCTGCTTTTGGAACTGTGAACATCTTTGAAGTGAAGCCCGTCGAGTAGTGGGATCTTTCCAGTACACCCCATTCTAGCATTTGCGCTACCTCTGATTCCATACGAGGTGTTGAAAAACTGTGTCTGGTTGAGAAGTGGAATAATGGAGGTTTTCGGATGAAAGGGATTGAATAACCTCTGATTATTTGAAGAATAGAATTGGGCGCCCCTTCCTTTTGCCACTGGTTTGCATAATACTTTAAGCGACCTGCTCTGAACTGATCTTTGTCAGCGCTTCTTGCAACGAACGGGGGTGGAGTGTGGGTTCGATGATCCTGCTGAAACGGAATAACTGCGTTTTCTGGTTCCTTTCTTATATCGGTTCTTCTCAGCATCTTTCGTGTATGACCTCGGCTGGCTTGATCCTGCCATTGTAGACTGTGGCATCTTTCGCGTGGCCAAATGCGAACGAAAGGAGCTTGAATCTCTGTTTTGAGATTCAAATCTTGGCCTCGAGGCCCGAAAAAACTGCCCAAATTGTTTTATCAGGTCGGTAAATGCTTCTTCCTCGAACAGATGAGTCTTCGAGGGCGGAATTGCATCCATAAGCGCCCCTACATGTGTATTGAGCGGCCGCAGTGCCTTTCTTCTCTTTTCAATTACTTCTGCGCGCTTACCGCACACATATTGCACCAAAGCATCTGATGTGACCTTAAAGTCGCCATCAGGATCCCAGAACTCCTCCCGGATATCCTTCCCCAGTTCCGGATACTTTGCCGCTAAGGCCTTTACTGAATGCGAAAAGGCTTCTCGTTGTAAAAGTAAGCCATGCAAAATAGTGCCTAAAGTAGCATCCATAGATGCTAACATATCAGGCGTTCCTTTATTTCTGGAAAGTTGCGGGTTGACTTTTAAGGCGCTAAAAACAGGCGAGGCCTGCAGTTTCTTCTGTGCATCAACATAACGGATTTTATTGAAAGAAGCCTGCCCTAGCCGCAAGCAGTTCACCCCCTGGGCTTCAATATGTGCGTCCGCTTTAGGGACTAGAGGCTCTTGCTCCTTGGTTACCGGAACAAAACTGAAGTCCAAGTGATCTATGGGACTTTCTAGTATATCCGTCTCGTTTGGTGCACTGAAGCCTAGGTCTAAAGATGGAGCAATATTTTCTTGATCATCCAAATCCGATTCCTCATCTGAATACCTAACATCTTGGATAGACGTGCCTTGGTCGGAACGTTGTTCGATCTTTTCCAAAACATTCTGAACTAATATCTTTAGTTCCTCCTGGCTCCTTTCCAATTTATCCATTCGACTCATCTTTCTTGGCCTCGGATCAGAAGCACCCGTTGATGAACTCTCGCCCTCCGAAGAATCTGCTGCCAATCTCCGAGCCGCTTCTTTTCTTGAGATGAACAATGGCCGAAGTGAGTCCAGAGAGCTCATTACTAGCTCGTGATGAACTGCAGATCCCCTTATTCGACACGCCAAGGCTGGAGGACCAATAACCAGACCGACACAAAAAGGCCAATTCAGCATCCGGACCTTCATTTCCCGATATGTTTTCTCCGATAGGTTCTTACAATCCGGGATAAATGCTTGTGCTAGTCCGACCGTTGGAAGGGCAAATCTCAACTTATTGATCAGCTGAGGATCCATTGGATCCTCAAATAGAGATGTTCTTTCTGTAATGGCCACCTTCCAGTTCTTCCAACCATCCGGAAGGTGTTGCGATGCCAGTAGTTTAATGCGGTTGAGGATCCGCGAGTCTCCATGATCTTCTGGCGACGGATCCGCTAACTGGCCCAGAGTCATAGTGGACGGTCCTGGAGCTGCCTGCAGACAAGAAACAGCAACCCGTTAGAATCTCTACAGCCAAGGTATTCTGAAGTGATAGCTAATAACTTGATCAGTCGGCCCAAAAATGAGCCGACGGCTCGACGAAACAATCCGACGGCCTGTTAAGTGACCCGACCGCTCAGAATCGGGCCGACGTCTCCGTAATTCCAGTCGTCGGGTCCACGAATCCAGCCGACGACTGATTCAAGCTAGTTGAGCCGACGGCTCGAAAGTCGAGGCCGACGGTTACGTATAACGAGCCGAAACTGCTGATATAGCAAGAAGGATCTACAAGGAGGTACATAGCTGCTTGGTGCGAACTACCCTCGGTAATGTAAGTGATTGACCGGGGGTGCAAGTCACTTCACAACAATAAAATTGATGTTTCTGAATCATAAAGGATGTCTGAAGTAATGAACTCAAACAACATGTCGGTCTGCTAGGTAAATAACAAAACAACTTCACATGCCGTTTAGGCATTAATGATTTCGAGTAGAGGGAATGAAATCAAAACAAAGGGGACTTACCATCATACCATAATGCACTGTATTCACTCTCGCGAAGAATATGTACAGAATAGGAGCATACACTTGCGCGGAATAAAGCGTACTGAGGATCCTCCTGCATCGCGGCATTCGTGGCGTTACAACGGAAGGCAAACGCTGGGCCGCGACTGCGCAGAAGGGCTAGCCGACGTAGAATAGGAGTAGAGGGAGGGGCACAGGGGCATACATTAGGGTAGGGAATGGGGACGTAATCTCACCAGGGTCAAGCCGACGGCACAGACCCTGAAATGATCTATTATGCATCAGTCTGTCGTAACAACAACGTTTGTTCAGCATAATGCCATGCAATTCATACATAATTTCTTCTCTTTCAAGTCTAGGGTATTCTTTGATTTGCTTTGCCAGCATTGTACAAAATAAATCACATTCGTCTTCTTCTTTCCCTCTCTCCTTGTTTATCAGTGCGTTATTTAATGCAGTAAACGCTGTGCTCATTTTTTGCTTGCTTCCTGTAATTCAGACGGATTCATAGTACGACGTTTTTGTCCTTGAAATTTTTGACTGCTTTGAGGAGGGATAGGAGGGACGTCAACGTCGACGTCGTTTTTTCCTTCTTCAGAGAGGTCACTAGCCCGTTCGTTCGAAGCGCCGGCTTCTTCACATACCTCAGGTCGTATCTAGGAAAGAAAAATACATTAAAAATATACGTAAAAAATAATAATACATTAAAAAGCTAACTAGCAAGTTTAAAATATGAGTAGTAGTTAAAAATTAAAATTTGAAATATCTAATTTTTTTTTCTTTCAGATGCCTAAAACTGCAAATGAATGGCTCTCAAAGGCACAAGGCTTCAATTTTCCTCATTGCATCGGAGCTTTGGATGGAAAGCACATCATGATTCTACCGCCACCCCATACTGCATCGGAGTACTTCAATTACAAAGGACACTTGTACTCTTAGCACTAGTTGATAGTGACTACTGTTTTATTTTTGTGGATATAGGATGCCCAGGACGGATAAGCGACGGTGGCGTCTACAACCAAAGTGTTCTAAAGCAAAAAATTGACACAAATGTAATCAACTTGCCACCTCCTAGTCCTTTGCCCAATAGTAACACTAACTTCCCTTATGTTTTTTTAGCTGATGCGGCATTTGCTCTGAGTACACATATTATGAAGCCATTTCCTGGGCATCATGCTGTTGGTACTCCCGAGAGGTTATTCAATCAAAAACTGTCTAGTTCGCGTGTGACAATCGAAAATACTTTTGGAATAATGTCTAGCGTATTCAGAATTTTCAAAAGGCCTATACCACTGAATATTCCCAAGGCATCTTTAATTACAATGACATGCGTTTTGTTGCACAATTTCTTGAGAAAAAGTAAAACATCTCGACATATACGTTATACACTCCCCCAAATTCGGTAGATAAGTATGTTAACGGTGAATTAACCCAACCAGGATCTTGGAGACAAAATTACACAGGAACATTTGATCCACTGCAACATGTACCTCGAAGAGCTCCTACACGTGCAGTAGAAACAAGATTAAATTTTATGAAATATATTCACGAGAATAACAGTTAGCTATAGATGTACCTAACAGAATTTTCTGAAATAAATAGGATTAGAGAAACTTGGTTTTTTACTTACGTTTTCCTCTGAATTCATGAGACTGGTGGATTCATAAATATCTGTTAGAAATGCTGCCATCACATCATAAAAGATCCAGATGGGCTGGTACACGTCCTCTACTCCAGATCCCGACTTCATAGAAGACATTTTCTTTTTTAAGTTTGTCCTGAATGTTCCAAGAAGATTGTCTTTCTTTTTTTAATTCATGGATAGGAACACCCATCCTGTCAGCAATACGTTTCCATGATTCATTGATCTGAATTAATAAATATAAGCATCAATAGAGTGTCATCAAATCAAATATCTTATTAGCATCACATTTTCTTAAAAAACATTTCAAACAATACTTGCTGGATGAGAAGTAGGCTACGTGACCATGACCTTGACCTTCAAAGATCGTTTGAAAGTCAGGTTGAAAATCTAAAATGAGAAGACCGTTTTTTCAATCGGTAATTGAAGAGAGCAGAACCTTTTACGTTGTGACTCATTGGATTCATGGTCAAGGTCAAGATTCAACGTGAAACAGGTATGAGCCCCTCCTCTACTATTACATAACTTCTGCATGAACCACCTTCTAAATAATCGTACTATTTTGTCCTTGGAATGACCTTGAACCTTAACCTTGACCATGAAGCCAATAACTTACATAAATGCAGAAGGATCTGCTCTTTTCAATTACGGAGTTAAAAATGGGTCGACCCATTCAAAATTTTCAAATGACAAGATCAATGTTTTCAAGATAATGGTCAGTTAGCCTTCCTCTCGCCAAGAAACTTTTGTTTTGAGCATTTTTTAAGGAAATCTTCTTTCAACAAGGTATTCCATTATCTCAAGATAATGAATATGTATATACATAATTAAATTATAGTAATTGGTTGTATACTTACAACATATTTGTTTTTGTGGTACTTCTTCTTTGGATTCCACAGGCAGTTTTCTGCTTGATATAGCTCAATAAATTTGAAGGTTTCATCAGTGGTCATATTAGCCATGTTAGCGAAAAAGGTTAAGGTGAAAACCTTAAGAAGCGCGAGTACAGTCTCTTTCCCGATTCCGATAGCACTGATGCGTGCTCATTCGTCGTCAGACGTGTGGTCAGACGTCGGACGCTCGCGCCTTAATCCCTTTGTTGCGTGTCACAAAAACCGACAACAGACGGAAGAGCGCCAGACGCATCTGCCGACGTCCGATACCGCCCACAGACGAGCAAATACCCCCCTCTACACGTCGGCGGACGCACCCGCAGAAGACGTCTGCCGACGCATCTGCCGACGTCCGATACCGCCCACAGACGAGCAAATACCCCCCTCTACACGTCGGCGGACGCACCCGCAGAAGACGTCTGCCGACGCATCTGCCTACAGTGCAGAATAAGTTTGTCACAGTTGATCGTTTTTTCATGAAGCCATGCTGTTGAGTTGATATACTATTATGCACATGCCAGTAAAATGCATCATATATAAGAAACTCAAAAACCTTTGAAAAGTTGTTAATTATCGTGAGTTGTCTATAATTCTCAATATCGCTCTTGTTACCCTTATTTTTAAAAACAGGACAAACATTTGACATTTTCCACGTTGATGGATATTTACCATTTTGCAGCGATAAGTTGAATATCGTTGCTAAAGGCTTCGCAAATACAGATGCACAGTCTTTCAAAATAAAAGCCGGAATGCCATCTGGACCAGAAGTTAATTTAGGCTTTAGTCTTCTCAAGGCATCATAATCATTATGGAAGTCCAGGCATCTATAGTTAGCGCCACGTGCTTTGCGTCCGCTAGATTCCTTTTTACGGCTTCTTTTACCTCTTCGTAAAGCCCAGGAAGCAACTTCTGTAACAGTAGCAACATAAAAAGTGAATTTACTAAAATTCATGACTATATTTGTACTACCGTAGTAAGTCGGTAAACTTAGGACAACCTGCACACAACACTGTATACTTACATTAGATATCGTTTGTCTACATGGTAATTTGTACCGTGGGTCAAGGGCCTTCACAAATTGAACGAATCCGTCATCTTCCACAACACGAAACGGCTGATAGTCCATGGCAAACATTCTTAGGAAATGACGGTCGAGGGCCTTCCGTTTTGGACTGTTCTCCTCATAAAAACCTGGGTCCCCATCAGCACGTGTTGCGATGGCTCCATTTTCCAGCACCACGTGATGAAATCTTTGCAGATGACCTAACAAGTTCTTTGTGCCGCCACCCCCTTTGTAAACAGTTCCGCAAATTTTACACTTTGCCGAGTCCGGCTTATCATCTATTCGCTCAAAATGGAGCCACGCTTGGGACGATTTTCTAGGAGCCATTTAAACGTTTCAAATTGGCCAAATGGAGGATTCGCGACACATACACACACACACACACATAACTTCTCTCCGTTAACAGCACTAGACTCCGTATCACCAGTCGCCTCGTTCCCCTCCGGAGATCACCCTAAGGCCGGCCGCACATTGAGCACAGCACAGCCCAGCATAGCACAGCAGAGGAAAACTATCCCTCGACTCTGCATGTGTTGCTCACCGCATATTGAACGAAGTCATTTTGCTTCCATGTGTGCAGTTTTCGGTTGTAAATGATGTTTGCTGTTAATGACCCATATTTAGATTCTGAATCAGAATCGGATTCAGAAATTGACACTCTGATATTATTATACAGTATATCTGAAAAACGTAAAAAGTCTGTATGGATGAATGATTATTTAAAGAAAAGGAATACTCATGGGGAATTTAACCTGCTGAAAGAACTAAATGATGGCCAAATGAAAATGTATTTTCGTTTAAATAAAAATCAGTTTGACGAGCTTCATAATCTTGTGATCAATGATATTACAGGACGTGGATGTAATGCACAACAGCCTATTGAAAGTGAACTAAAGTTAGAGGTGTGTTTAAGGTAAGAAAGTTCCATAGTATTTACATATATGTACATGTTTTATTAAGTAAATACACATATTTTATTGTAATATAATTTCTTAAATGGTTAAATATTAGGTAGTATTATCATTATCATAAGTTTCAATATAATTTCTTAAAGACATGAATATTGTGATCGTGGTGGTGCTGATAGCTGATGGAAGGGTTGTTGCGATGGTGGATTTGTTGCTCTCTGCAGATGGAAGGATTGCTGTGATATTTCATGCGTTATTGCTGGTAGTTCATGCTCGTATGCTGAGCAACGACTAGTTGCAGGACTGTTTATTTCGACACTACTGGCATTCCGTTGTGCCGCTTCAGATTCCAAGGACACGGATAGATCTTCTTCAACTTGGACTGCTTCAAATAGCTTTCTCTTTATTATTAACTGTGATGCCTTTGGCATTTGCAGGCTATCATGATACATTGAAAGAAAGAACTGATACAAACCGTCTGGATTCTCGTCTGCCTTTCGCTTCCGTTCTTCCTCTCTTTGTCTTCTGCGAATGGCATGCTGTTCTAAAGTTTGCTGCACTAAATTAACCATACGTTTTTTATTTCCATATGATATCTTCGATTTGCTGGGTACAGCAATCTGCGGTTAATCTCTTGATGACCGATGGACATGGTCTGCTCTCTCCTGTCCTGTCTCATCTTCATTTTCTGCGCCTTCTGCAGTTTCCACAGAAGGCGACAGAATGTCGTCATTGTCAGTAAGATTTCCAGCCCCATCTTGTTGGTTACTTTCTATGTTTCCAGTTGTACTCCTATTTGCCATGTATGGAATAAGAAATTCCATTTGTTTTTGATATGTCCACAGCTTTATGTTTTTAGCCTTGTCCCCACTTTTAGACTTTCTTTGTCGCCGCAAAGCATCACGATGACAGTCTCTTAGTTTTCGCCACAACTCTTTTACAATTTGACCTAAAAAACATAGATAGAATTATAAATGATTTATAACCGTGATATGTTTTATACCTAATTTTTGTTTTTATTTTGTTAAACTGTCTTTTAGGTACATATTTTTGTAAATTATTTGTAAAACTTTATAGTTGAGGCAATGAAAATTTTAATTGATTGACTGAGTGTGGCAGGAGGTACATTCAGAAGTATCGGATTTTCTTACAGAATAGGAGAAAGAACAGTTTCTAAAATAGTCACTGAAGTGTGTAAAGCAATTTGGAAAAACATGCAGCCATTATATATGCCAAATCCAACAATAGATATGTGGAGAAAAGTCGCAGAAGAATTTGAGAGAAAATGGCAATTCTACAACTCTTTGGGGACAATTGACGGAAAACATGTAACGATAAAAAAACCGCCTAAAAGTGGATCGTCATTTTTCAATTATAAACAGTACTGCTCTATCGTCCTAATGGCTACTGTAGATGCAAATGATAAATTTACCTCAATTGACATAGGTTCAATGGGCCGATTTAGTGATGGAAATGTATTTTCAAACAGCGGTTTAGGGATGAAGCTTAGCAACGGCACGTTAGAAATACCACCACCTAAGTCTCTACCTGGTGAAGAATTCGATATACCATATGTTTTTGTAGGCGATGAAGCGTTTCCCTTGACCAAAAATTTAATGCGACCTTTTCCAAAACGTCAAGTTAATAATAACTATAGGAATAAGGTGTTTAACTATAGGTAAATATACACAGAGCCAAATTTTTATGGAATTATCATGTTATTTGGGGAAAACGAATTTTAATTTGGAAAAAAATCACTGGAAAGTAAAGAGCAGTTTTCTCAAAACAAGTTGTCTTTGTGAGTAAATACATGCACTTTTTATTTGCTTCCGATAGCCCCCAATAGAACACGAGGCGCGAATGAAGCGTTTTTAATTAGAGAAAAATTCACAGACTTCTACAATTCACCAGCCGGTTCTATACCATGGCAACAAAAATTAGTACAACGAGGACATTACTAAGAAAATTATTTTCTGATGTTTTGTTTATTTTTGGTCTTCTTTGTACGTATATACAAAGAATCTAGTATATTTTTTAGTATATTAATTGTGAAACTATTTGTTTACCCTAACCTAACACTGTAAACTTGAAATACGAATAAAAGTTTGAGCTGTTAATTACCATTTGAATAGTTTAATTCAACTGCAATTCTGTCCCATATTTCATTTTTTAATTTACTTCTCATATAGTCTTTATCCTCCGTATCATAAAGAACTTTATTCTCGCGTACACATTCTATTAATTGTTCCATTTTCACTGAAATATCTGGTAAATAAATCTTGATTACCTGCCGAGACCGACAGAGTACATAGGAAAACTCTGTTTCGTCCACAGAAGCCGCAGGCTGATAGAGCAAAAGAAAAATCCTCTGCCGGTACTATGTCTCGACTGCGCACAATATGCGGCGCTACCTTTACTGCCACGTGTTAGAAAAGTCTCGGCTGCTCTGCGCTAAGCTGTGCTGGGCTGTGCTGCGTTCAATGTGCGGCCGGCCTAACTCCCTACCTCCGTATCCCTCCGGATTCTCCCCACCTCCTACAGTAGTACCGGATATCACCATTCGGTGCCAGCTCCGCGATCTCCGGTTACTCCTACAGTTGCTCCATCTCCGCTAACAGCACTATCGGGTGCGGCTATGGCGTTGTTTACGATGTCGTAATGGAGATCGAGACCTTTGGTGACTGATTTTTGAATCAAGTTATTTTAATAGATTGGGGATTAAAGCGGCATTGTCTCTTGATTCGCTTTCAGAATCACTCGAAGATGCTCTCTTCTTGCGTTTGTGATGTCTCTTGCCTATATTAATATCTAATGAGAGCGAATGCTGGAAAATTAGGTTAAGGTTACATTGTATATGGTCCTTGATTGTAAAATCAGACCAAAATCTCTTTAGGGTATGAAAGTAAACAAAAATAAAAAATAACTCGCCGGTTTCGGGTAGTGATAATACAAAACGAACGAAAGAATTGCGAGTGCGACAGAATGAACCTTCGCGCGAAGCACAAGATAACACAACGAGTTGAATACGTTCCGATGGAGCGAATTGCCGCTAGCACTGATAGCAAAACAAAATGTTACTAGGGTTCCTCCTTCGGCAGATGTTACAAACCCAACCTGCTTAGCTCCCCTTCTAGCAACGACTCTATCTGACTTCTGCACAGTTGTTACACCCATTGCATCGACATTATAGATGTCTTGTGGTTCAAATTTATATCGATCAACCACTCCTTCCAGCAAGTCAAAAAATGCAGAAACATTTGTCTTTAAAGCTGGTAATTCGACCAAGGCTAGTCGCCTCGGGAACCCTGAGAGATAATCGTGGATGACGTTTAAGAAAACTTGTCAACCAGTCATCAGATGCTATTTTATTTTCATTCCAGTTGGGGCGAACAGCTATATTATTTTTTACAGCAAATTCAAAGGCCAGTCTGTGAACCTCTTTCGTGGATAAGCCAAAATAATATTTTGCTTGGTCCAACAAATATTCTTCCAAGTCAGCTTCCATCTCATCTGGTAGTACCTGACGATTTCGTCTATATCCAATATGGATAGGTCCTTCTAATCCTAAAAGTAAAAAAAAATAAAAATATTAATTTGACACTTCAACGCTGACACATAGAAGTTACAAATAAATGTTTAAAAAGCCAAAGAAAGTCAAAATTGAGTTTTATAAATGTATAAAAAACGGGAGCTTACAAAAAATAATTTTATATACACACACACAGCAAGTACAATGCAAATAGACCAAATCGTAAAAAAATGCGTAAAATAAAAAGTTACCTTCATCTTCTTTCTGTTTCTGTTTTTTTACAAAATCGCTGTAAAGTCATATGATTTATCTCAAAATCAGCAGCTACTGTTCGTAGGGACTTCTTGTTTACAAGAACCTCATTAGCAGCTCGTTTAAAAACATCTACAGGTATTTTTTCCCTTCCGGTTTTGCGAATATAGTTCCTCATTATCTATCTAAAACAATTTGTATTATGTTAAACGCACCAATAGAATTTTTCATGGGGTAGGTTGTGACAGTAACAACCTGCCCCGTTGAAGGTGTCACAACCAACCCCATCCGCCATTTTCTGTTCTTTTCTCAAATATTTTTGTGAACATTATAATTAGCCGAATAAAAACAATACCTTATAAAAGTACTAACCTGATACCACATGCGCACTCAAGCGGAACTGAATTATGTTAGGAGGCGACAGACTAGACGGGCGGCCCTTCCTGCGAAGCTGCTGCCATCTATACGGTAGAAGTAAAACGCACTGTAACAATCAACCCCTGTAACAACCATCCCCGGTCTCCCCTACATATTCTGGGTTAGGGATACGGAAAACAGAGTAATCAAAGTATGGTTTATCTGAAGTCACTTTCATGACGTATCATAGGCGTGCGGTTATTTAGTTAGAACGATAATGATAATGTTTTTATATCACGATAAATGGATTTTACTATCTTCTTATTTTTTTGATTTGGGATAAAAATACTTATATTGGGAGTTTAATTTATGTTGACTGAAAGTTAAGAAATGGAAAAATTACAGAATTCCAACGTTTGACATAGGCAAATATTTACATAGCAGGTAGGTATATAAAAAGGTATATAAAGACTTACATTATAGGTATTTATATATCATCCTCGCCTTCGCTGCTGTCGCTAGAGTCATCTTATAGAGGAATTACAACGGGATTTACAGGAGGCAAAACACAATATTAATTTTCTTTTTCAATAATATGCCTAGAACACTGCTTCCATAGGTCTGTGGCAGCAATATGAGATACTGCATCTCTTATTGTGGCCAATAGCGATTCACTTAATTGAGGGGTCTGATTATGTTTTCTTACTATTTTTTATAAGCAGCCCAGACCAACTCAATCGGGTTAAAAATGCAGTAATAGGGAGGTAGACGTAATACTTCATGGCCATTTTGCTGAAGCAGATTGTCAACAACATACTCTTTTTCAAATTTTTGTCTTTTAATAAGATCCAATAATACGGCTTTGGTTGATTTTTGTGGTATTTCCATTCCCTTATCCTTCATAAAATCAATAATGTCTTGTTTTTTTGTGCCTGTATTCGGAATTTTGTTTTTCTGTCGGGAATGGTATGGCGCATTGTCCATAATAATCACTGAATTTGGATTGGGACGATCTGTAACAGCTGCAGGAAGAAACTCATCCTCTGTGAAAATGTTTCTGTTAACGGGGAAAACTCCACTTATTTGAAATCCAGCCTGGATATTCTTCGGGGTAGCAGCCAAAGGCAAAGCATCTTTAACAATTTTAGGTACGTCATAAATTATAATTGTTTTGCCAGGTTTATTCCGCATCCAGGAATCGCAACTGGTATTGATATATTTCTTAAGAGGCCCATAGACAGATCGATCTAATGGTTGTAGTTTGTGTGAACAATGCGGGGGCATGGAGATCATAACAATGCCATTTTCTTTGCAGTAGTTAATGCCTTTTACTGAAAGATGTGACTCATGGTTATCGAGTAACAGTAAAACCGGTTTTTCTTTAGATGAACTACAATGTGCAAAATGCTCCTGAAAAATACAAAATTCGTTTTCTGTCATCCACCCCGATAGATTGGCGGCTCCAACACAGCCAGGAGGGCCATTGTTCACAAAATGATTGCTGTAGTTTTTTCTCGGAAACAGGAACATCGGAGGGATTGAATTGCCGCTAGCACTGATAGCAAAACAAAATGTTACTAGGGTTCCTCCTTCGGCAGATGTTACAAACCCAACCTGCTTAGCTCCCCTTCTAGCAACGACTCTATCTGACTTCTGCACAGTTGTTATACCCATTGCATCGACATTATATATGTCTTGTGGTTCAAATTTATATCGATCAACCACTCCTTCCAGCAAGTCAAAAAATGCAGAAACATTTGTCTTTAAAGCTGGTAATTCGACCAAGGCTAGTCGCCTCGGGAACCCTGAGAGATAATCGTGGATGACGTTTAAGAAAACTTGTCAACCAGTCATCAGATGCTATTTTATTTTCATTCCAGTTGGGGCGAACAGCTATATTATTTTTTACAGCAAATTCAAAGGCCAGTCTGTGAACCTCTTTCGTGGATAAGCCAAAATAATATTTTGCTTGGTCCAACAAATATTCTTCCAAGTCAGCTTCCATCTCATCTGGTAGTACCTGACGATTTCGTCTATATCCAATATGGATAGGTCCTTCTAATCCTAAAAGTAAGAAAAAATAAAAATATTAATTTGACACTTCAACGCTGACACATAGAAGTTACAAATAAATGTTTAAAAAGCCAAAGAAAGTCAAAATTGAGTTTTATAAATGTATAAAAAACGGCAGCTTACAAAAAATAATTTTATATACACACACACAGCAAGTACAATGCAAATAGACCAAATCGTAAAAAAATGCGTAAAATAAAAAGTTACCTTCATCTTCTTTCTGTTTCTGTTTTTTACAAAATCGCTGTAAAGTCATATGATTTATCTCAAAATCAGCAGCTACTGTTCGTATGGACTTGTTGTTTACAAGAACCTCATTAGCAGCTCGTTTAAAAACATCTACAGGTATTTTTCCCCTTCCGGTTTTGCGAATATAGTTCCTCATTATCTGTCTAAAACAATTTTTATTATGTTAAACGCACCAATAGAATTTTTCATGGGGTAGGTTGTGACAGTAACAACCTGCCCCGTTGAAGGTGTCACAACCAACCCCATCCGCCATTTTCTGTTTTTTTCTCAAATATTTTTGTGAACATTATAATTAGCCGAATAAAAACAATACCTTATAAAAGTACTAACCTGATACCACATGAGCACTCAAGCGGAACTGAATTATGTTAGGAGGCGACAGACTAGACGGGCGGCCCTTCCTGAAAATGTCGTTGCGAAGCTGCTGCCATCTATACGGTAGAAGTAAAACGCACTGTAACAATCAACCCCTGTAACAACCATCCCCGGTCTCCCCTACATATTCTGGGTTATATTTATATTAGACGTTATTTGAATCACAAAACACATACTGATTTGCGAATTTGTGTCACGGTTTAAATAGGTAAACATCAGATTTAAAAATAATTACCAAATTCTACGTCCGCCAATAAAAAAAATTAGTTTCCAGGTTTCCATCTGAATGTGGGATGTCTGGCAACCCTGGTGCATGAGCGGCATTGCTAGAGTCTAACCAGCGTTACCACTTAACGATCAACGATTGTACAGGTACCGGGTAGGGATACGGAAAACAGAGTAATCAAAGTATGGTTTATCTGAAGTCACTTGAAATAGCATAAAAACCTTTGGTCGGCGCGTCCTTTGTAATTTCATGACGTATCATAGGCGTGCGGTTATTTAGTTAGAACGATAATAATGTTTTTATATCACAATAAATGGATTTTACTATCTTCTTATTTTTTTTGATTTGGGATAAAAAATACTTATATTGGGAGTTTAATTTATGTTGACTGAAAGTTAAGAAATGGAAAAATTACAGAATTCCAACGTTTGACATAGGCAAATATTTACATAGCAGGTAGGTATATAAAAAGGTATATAAAGACTTACATTATAGGTAT